CACGCCCCTCCGCGCCGGCTTCCGGCTGGGGCAGTCTCGCCACGCCCCCTGCTCTCGGTGGCCACGCCCCTCTGCGCCGGCTTCCTCATGGGGCCATCTGGTCCGGCCTCACGTCCCGCCCGTTCCCTGACGGGGGCTCTCGTTACGCATACGTCACGTTACGTTCTCCGGGACCCAGTGGGGTCGTGCGTCTGCTTGCTTCCGCCTGTCGCCCGCACCTTGATGGCGCGGGTACCGGCCTGTCCCGGCCTCTCTGGGGGGCTCCGAACACTCCACTGGGTGCCTCACAGCTGAAAACAGGAACCCGAGCAGTTTGGAGACCGGGGAGCAGGGCTGCTGTCCCCGCTCCCGACTTTCTCTGAGCTGACGCGGTCCCTCACCTCCGGTGGCTAAGACACCGCTCACAACAAACTCCCCTGGACACCTTGCTTGCCCCACCCTATTTATTGTCATCACATATACAGGGCACTTCGTGTGAGGATTATTATTTCTTACTTGAATAACTTAAGTTTCGTCTCCAGGCCGACAACCCATTAGGCACAGGGCCTAAGGCCCCCAGTACTTGTAGAGGCTCACGAAAATATTTTAATTTCTTCAAAAAGCAGAAGAAAAAATAAACTTTTAGGTGCACGAAATGTTTTAATATCAATGTAGTGATCTTCCTATAATTTTAATGTTATTTTTGTTATCACTTTAACGGGGAGGGGGCAGGTAGCACACAACCCTTCCCAGTTATTTGTATTTACTTAAATTTTTTTTTTTTTTTTTGCAAACGCCCAGGTAAAATTTAGACCAAACCCTAGCCAGGCTCTTCTGAGCCCTCAACTTGCCCTGTAAAGACCTGAACAAACATTAAAATAGCTTCTAAGGGCTCAAGGGTGATCCCTAGGATGACCCCAGCCCCTCTTAGAGTTTCTACATGAGATCAAGACCCACCATTCTTTATTTCTTCTTTTTTTCTATTCTTTCCTCTTTGCAGGGGCAGGGGACCTCCTTGGCTATTTTCGCTCATGTTCATGAAATTTACAATGCTTTACCAAAATTCCACTAGGGTTTTGTGGCATAGTATTGAATTTTTAGGTGGTTTTGGAATTTATGAACACTTGGGCATATTGAATCATCACCAAATATAAACATTATATTGCTCTTAATGTAAGTGAACCTTGCTTTGTATCTTTCAATGACATATTATAGTTTTATTTATGTAACCTAGAATGTTTTTTCTTGGTCTTAGAATCCTTAAAATCTGTCGTACTGCATTGAATGATGTATGGTTTTTCTATTTCAATTCCAGGTAGGTCATGGCTAATGTATATAAAGGCCATGCCTTTTATGTGGCACTAATATGTCTACTAACTGTGTTGCACTCTGTTATATCTAATTGTTTATAGATTCTCATGGATTTTTACAATAACATGTTATTTTCAAACAATAAAAATAACTTTTTTTTTTTTTAACCATCATTATCCTTATTATTTTTTGCCCTTGTCTCACGATATTGGCTGTGCCCTTGGTGTGATGTTAAACAGAACTTTCTGTTATGGTGCGAATGATTCTAAGACCCACGGAGCCAACTGAGATCAATTATGAGCCTTTATTAGCCGGCCGGAATGACTCTCTACCACGCAGGGTTAGAGGAGATCAGCCCCAGGGTTTGAGAGCGAGGCAGTTATAAAGCCTAGAACAAGCAAGCAGATTACAGAAGCAGAAGTTGACCCTTAGCACAATACATCACCTAGTACCACACCCTGGTTAACAAGTAAGTGGATCACAGAAGCAGACACTGGCCATCTTCATATCTTATACAATACACCTCCTAAACCACACCCAAGCAAGTAGGACAACTTCTGGTATCTAAAGATAGTTCTTCCCTGTAGCTGACTTAGCTAGTTGGCTCACTTGAAAATTTTCCACCCTTAACATTCCCCACTGGTTTTCAGG